TCAATTTTCTAATTTTAATATATTATTTCACTATCAGATTTATTTTTATTTCTTATATTTCTTTAATTATATTAATATTCTTATCTTTTAATTCCTTAGAAAGTAATATGATAAGAATAATATGATAGAATAATATGATAAGAATAATATGATAAGAGTAATTGTATTAAAAATATTTATAATTTATATACTTTTATTATACTTTTATAGCAATATATTAATTTTGTTAATTAATTTATTTATAATTTAAGAAATTTCTATTTAATTATAATGCTATTATTTTCTTTATTTTACTTTTCTATATTCGATATAAAATATAGAAAAATATAGAATAAATTTATATAAGATATTTGATATTTATATATGATTATGATGTATATGATTTATAAAAAATTATTTTTATTGTATACTATTAATATCAAAAAAAATTCATGCAATTAATTGAAATCATTTAATTTGAATAAAATTTATTTCTTACTTGGTAAATTTTATTTCAAATTGAAATAAGATATAAGTATTCAAAATAATTTATTTCGGATAATTATTTTAAATTCAATACTATTATTTGAAAGTTAGATTAAGATTATCATTAATTCATTTAAAACAATAATTTATTGAATTATTTTGTTATTCCATTATTTTAAATTCAATTCAAAGAAAATAATTCTCAAAATAATTTCAAATAGAAATTATAATGTGTAAATTTAATATTTTATTAAATATATATTTATATTAAACTGAAGTATAATATAATATAAAATAATAATAAAGTACGAATAATATTATTACAGAGTTGAATAATATAATATAATTATATTGAATTTTTAATCATTATTGAAAATAAATTGATTACAAAAAATAATCATAATAATTATCATTAATCAATTAACACAAAAATAATGTGTAATCTTAAAATATCTTAAAATCTTAAATCTTAAAATCTTAAATAATATGTAATTATTAATCAATAATTTATGATCATTTAAATGATTATCACATATACAAAATCGAAATTTATAGAGAAAGAAAATCTAATATAGCTTTTTAAAAAAGCAATAAAATAATCTTAAAATAATCTTAACTTAAAATTTATAGAAAGATCAAGAAATTGTACGATGACAAATTTTTCAATTTTGAGAATGTCATTTAACTATTTTATACATATATTTCGTTTGTGAATAACAATTAAATTTAAATATCCATTATCGATATCCAATATTTTTTTAATTATAATTGGCAAAAAAAGATTTTCTTTTATATAACATGCTTTTTATATAACAACTTCTCTTCACTTCGTATGGAGAGATTATTGTCAATAAATATATGTAATAAATAATAAATGTAACAAAAATATATAGATTAGATGAAATGTTTAAAGTAAAAATTATATTAAAAGTACATTATATTTATATATTAAAGTAAATAAGTAATTTATTCTTTATTTATTCTATATTTAAGAATTAATTAAATAATAATCTATTTCTAAAAAAAATATTTCTTGTTATAAATAAATTACTGATTCAATCTTAATCAAAAATATAATTATCTTTTTAATGATTTTAATTTGAATTTGATTAATAATTAATGATAATTAAATTAATTATGACTTTTTATTATAATATTGTAATTATTTTTTTAATAATTAATGAATAACTATAAATAATCAATAATTAATATTATTAATTATGATCCTCAATTATTAATTAGATTAAATTTTGCCCAATTTTTTATGGATATTTATAGGATATTTATAGGATATTTATATTTATATGGATATTTATATATATATTTTATTTATTAGAATAATATTATTTTATGTAATTATTTTAATAATCATGGAATGAACATATTATATCATATAATATTTGAAATAATAAAAATAAAATTTGATATTTTATAAATATTACAAAAAATTATGAAATAAAAAAACATGTTATTTATTTCGGATATTATATAAAATTATTTATATAATATTAAAAATTTACATTAATTTTAAATTATATGTAAATCTGGATTTAAGATGGTAAGCCAATTGTAAATAAAAATTGAAATTGAACATGTTAATCAAAATTCATATTTTATGAATTTAAATTTGGAAATTTAAAATAATAGATACAGAAAAATTTACTTGTAATGTTTATAAAGATATAATCCTTTATTTTTATTTTTATTTTTCTTATTATTATCCATTTTATTATTATTATCTATTGTTTGACTTTTTAAACAGATAAGCAAGTATGATAATGAGATCAAAACAACAATAAAATAATTTTTATATGAAAAGCTCAAGATTTTTATAAGAATCGTATGTATATGTAGAAATAGACATTATACATATCACAAAATAAGTTTATATTCAAATATTCAATTATTTAAATAAAATCTTTATCTTATTTTTTATTTGCTATATTATATTTTTATTTTAAATAATACTTTTTTAATAATAATTTATTTATAGAATTTATTTATATTTTAATATTAATTACTTTATCTTATACTTAAATATTTATTATTTAATTCCAAAAACAAAAAAAAAATTAAAAATTTTCTATAGTGAAATGGAATTCTTATACGAATTATTCTTTAAAAACATTTCTTTTGTTTAAATATATTTTTTTTCATATTTGTTTTATATATAGCTTATAAATTTCTTGATCAAAAAATACTGAAAAAAAAAAAAGATATTATTTTA